AGTTTCGGTTTGGCCAAGTGTATGACGGTTTTCTGTGCCTAACTATTTTGCCTGTACAAAATCACGCAGGACATTGTTTAGTGAACATGTTTTGTCAGTAAACAGCGAGTGAAACATTTCTTTAATTATTTGGTATTGCATGAACGTAAGGAACATGCATCAGATTATTTGGAAGTTGGATGTATTCAAAAAGTCACTACATATGACATAATAACCGTGATTTTATTTCTCCCCATACACAACCCAACCAAAATTTAAAAACATTCAAACATTGTTTTGTGGATTAGAAGTTTATTTCGTTGAAATTGAGTCATTTTATTCTGCTATATCATCTTTTTTTTATCTTCTTTTATGAGACTTGAAAGTACTATAATAATTTTGTCAAAGGCAACCAAACGAAAGAGATAAGACTACAACGAAGGCCCAAGACCCAAACAGAAATGCAGCACTGAAAGAAAGATAAAGGGAGTCACCATTCTTGAAGACACAACTTTTTACCCTTCTGCCAGTTGCAATTGTTGCATATTTTACATTTTTTAGAACAACACACTAAACACCCTTGACTTAAGATTTTTATACACTTCTATAGTTATAATTATTAAAAATCCAAGATAGTTATTTTAAATTTTCATTTTAATATTGTTTATCGTTCATTAATTTTATTTTATTTTTCAGGTAAAATATAATCACTAACTTAGTATATAATATATTTAAAAATATATAAGTAAATTAATATTTTAAAAAAGGTGCAACTGGTTTTTTCTGGATAAAATGGTCTATGTCCCTTTAGCTCCCCTTGTGATTATGTTTTTGGTTAATTTCCTCTCTCCAAAATCATTTTGGGTCAAACAACGAAGATTGGACTGAAATATATTGAGGCCCACTTGTCGTCAAATTGGACTGAACCAGGACCCAATTAAGTTCAGTCCAGCATCTTATTACGCTTACCACCAGTAGATTCACGACTCTCCTGCCGTATCAAATAAAATATCTCCACCAGCCTTATCGTTTATCTGCCATCCATCAATTTGAGTCCAGTTTCTGCGTTTAGTCACCAACGATCTTACAATGGCGACGGTCACGTTTTCCTTTTCCGCTAAAACCCTAACACTACCCTATCTACCCAAAACCCCAATCTCCAACTTCTACCCGGTAACCAATCTTCGCCTCCCTTCTTCTATTGTGACCCAAACCCGAAATGGTAACCGGATTCGGGCGTCGCTGGATGGGGATTTCTCGGCGAAAAGGAGCAGCAGCAACAGCGACCAGAGAGAGACGATAATGTTACCCGGTTGTGATTACAACCATTGGCTGATTGTGATGGAGTTTCCTAAGGACCCTGCACCCACTCGTGAACAAATGATTGACACTTACCTCGACACTCTTGCTACTGTATTGGGAAGGTTCCTTCCTTATCCTCTTCTCTTTTTCTACCCTAATTTTTCAAAATTAGAATGGACGCAGAATTCGTATGTACCTTGTAGCTCATAACAGCTTAAGATAAACGCCAATTCCTGTGCATCTTCTGTTATGTGGAGGACTTTGTTATTATCGATTTATAATTAAATTTTCATCATGTGCTTCTGCTTGTGTATTAGCATGGAGGAAGCAAAGAAGAACATGTATGCATTTAGCACCACTACCTACACTGGATTTCAGTGCACTGTTGATGAAGCAACCTCGGAGAAATTCAAGGGTAATGCTTCAGTTCCCAATTTGTGTCAATACCCTTGTTGCGTTGCTTGATGAGTTCTGGTTCTTCATATCTTATTTATGCTTGTAGGTTTACCCGGGGTTCTTTGGGTACTGCCCGACTCGTATATAGATGTTAAAAACAAGGACTACGGAGGTTATACTTATATTTTTCAGAGATTTCTACAGAAATAAATTGTGTTTGAGGTGCTATAGATTGATAATGTTTTTGCTGAATGCTTGATGTTCTTTAATTTTAGGTGACAAGTACGTAAATGGGGAGATTATTCCTTGCAAGTACCCTACCTACCAGCCAAAACGGAGCGCACCTAAGAACGAGAGTAGAAGGTACGAGAGACGGAGAGATGGCCCTCCCCCTGAGCGCAGAAGGCCAAGACAAGAGGCTGCTGCCTCGGATTCATCCTCTACATGAGGTATCGGGATGCATTATTTATTCCATTTATTTTACTTTTTCCATGATTTTGGTCTCCCCTTGCCTAATGTATCTAAAATTTGATACCTGAATTGCTGAATCAAGTACCACAGATCCATCTTCTTTTTAAACTCACGCTGAATGTCATGGAAGGGTCGTTAGCTTCCCCCTCCCCCATGTAGGCAAATTCATTGAATCTCGTCAGGCTCTGAAGATACATGATAATGCTATTGCTGCGGTCTTGCAGGTTATTTGTAGTTTTACTGAGAGAAACTAATGCCAAACGAAAGCTGCTCCTTATCACAGTTCTATCATGCTCATGGTCACTTTAACAAATAGAAGATTGAGCTTGTGTTGGATTCTCATCAAGATGCATGCCATGTTTCTTGCAAACTCAAACGGGTATTTCACGATTCATCTTGAGGAATATGTTCTTTTGGACTATATGAGTATGACATGTGAGACAAGTGCTATAATTGTTTATCTGTGTAATTTGGAGAGCTACTTATCATGAAACCAGTTTATGTTTTAGTGATAATTTGTCTGCTAGTTTCATGGCAATTGCGATATTAACAGTTAAAGTTACTGATGTGAACCGATCAAGTTTAGATAATATGCATATATAGCCTTCTGTCCTTATTTGAAGCAGCCCATTAGCAATCCTTAACTTAGTCATGCTACAACATCCCGGTTTTGCTGTGCTGCATCCCGGCCACCCCCTGTGAGAGTAGTTGGCGAAGGTGAATTTCTTGGAACTTCGAAATGGGTGCATTCATAAACCATCCTTGATTGCCGTGTAAAATGTAGATGTTTTGTTGTGCATAGTTGTTTTAACTCCAGCAACGAGGGAAACAGCACATTTATATTTGGAAGAGATGCAGAAAGAAAATAAAGGAAAAGAAAGAAAACGAGGACAGTAATAAACAGGAAGTTGTCTTCCTTTTTTTAGTTTATATTGATTTGATAAAATGTGATAAAAGAAAAAAATGATTAATTCCTTTTCCTTTGGTTGAAAAGAAGAGGGAGGTAAGATAAAAATATCATTATGCCAGGATGATTAGATTTGTCACTTGAATTATTTCCCTTTCGTTATTCTCTGGAGAGAGATTTTTTTGTGGATTTTGAATGATTTACTGGTTAGTTTTGTTTTTTTAAGTTTAAAATCGTCATATTGTTTGTATTTTAATTTGTTTTCGAAGGTTTGTATATGATGGCGGTGAAGATAAGTTTTTTTTATATATTTTATATACATTTAAAATACGAATTTTAAAGTAAGTCTTTTATGCTTTGTTTCTTGTTGTGAAATAAAGTTTTATATTTTAAGGAGCTTGGCCTTCACTACATTTATATATTTCGTAAGAGATTGTTTTCTAAACATTTAAATAGTGTATTTTAAAAAAATTATGACAGTTATAAACGTTCTATTTGAAAAAAAATAAAAATTAATTTCTGCTTTAGGGTTTTCAAAATATTTGTTTATAATTTTCAAAACTTGAGAAACTTTACATTCCGAATCCAGAAGTGTGCTCAACTTGTCAATGCCAATCTAGAAGGTTTTTCAATCGGGAACAGATGCATTATCCAATCTGGAAGTTCTTCCTTTTAATTCTTCCTTTTTTTAATATAATGTCATAAGGGTGAAGGGGTAAGTTTAAAATTTAGGAGTTGCGGTAAGAAACATTGGGGGTGCAGGAAGAAAGGACCAGTAGTCTAATAAGCAACGGCCCTTTATATATTTGTTTCTTAGAGGGTGACTCCCTACACCATCCATTTTGCTCCATGTTCCATCACATTTTTTTTTAAATTCGAAAGTTATTCTTTATATTTTAAAATATTCTATACTCCATCTCTTTTTTTAATGTCAATATCCATTTAAATTGGAACATGTTAAATATATAATTAAAATGATTATATTTATTTTTGTTTAAAGTTTAAAGATAAATTGTAGAGAATTTTAAAACACAAATAAGTTTTAATCTTACGTTTAGAGATTAAAAATACAATTACTCCTAAATTTAAATTAAGTGTTTCTACTCGTAGTTGTAATACACACTATGATTTTTTTGAACCAGTGCTGCTTTGTTGATCCAATCAGAGAAGACCTAGACTCTATTTAAAATTCTTTGAAATCCGATTTATTTCTTAACAAAATAATTTATTAACTTGTCTACAGAATGGATTAAAATAGGAGTTCCATGATATATTGAGAAATCATGATTCTTTTTGTGTCACTCTCAGACACCACTCGCCAGCCCGTAACCATCGCATTGATGTCAGCATTTGTTGTACATATATCAAACGCAAATGGCTGTCTTAATCTAAACTTCAACCAAACCAAAACAAAGACCAAAAGCTTTGCATTGCTGCTTAAAATTCATATCTATCTCCTTAGTCTCACTACTTCTGCTTCACACATTTTTATTTTATTTTGTAATAATAGCTATTCCAATTTTCTTTTACAAACATTATTATAAAAGATTATCGTTTAAATCACTTTATTATAATTTTTATTTAGTTAGAATTATTTAAAAATTTCCTTATTTGTTTCTCGTTCTTGATTTTTATTTCGTTACTTAATTTGAGAAGGAGGAAAGAAAAGCTTTGGCATACTTAGGCCCACCGACTACCTGTTTAGGGGTTGGTAAGCGTTGACACTCCTCACATGCTTACATTAAGGCTTCGGCCATGTCTTAATTATTTAGGTATAAGAAACGTAATTTCCACAATAACTTTATAACAATTTTTAAAATGAGACAGATAAAACAAAAGAGAAATTTATAAAATAAGGGGAATGATGCAATATAAAAGTGAAAAATGCGTTATGAAAAGTCATTTTTATCTATAAATAATATCTCGGTAGAGTAAAATGGTCTCTTTCCTTGCATAATTGCATGTGGACATTTCTGCATAGATAAGGATTCTGCGGTTGGTGAGAGAGTTATGGTGCACTTGAAATACTTTTCTTTTTGTACTGTTCAACCGAAATACTTTAAAGGAAAAAGCTTTCTTTTTCAGCACCGTTCAGATAACAGGAGATAGCAGACTTTCACGTGTCCATTCTGTTTCACAAGAAACTTGATCCTGAATTGCTGTCATAAGTTACTTTGAAGCGTACCCTCTTTTCGAAGGTTCCATCTTCAATTTCTGATGAAGCATGGCCTTCTACGGCGGCTCTTCCAATTCTGCTTCTGATTATGGTGAGTACAATTTCAACTCTTATTCTCTCAATTATGATTATGCTCAAATTTCATCCCCTGCGGCTTATGAGGGCTATGAGTACAATCAACCATATTATGGATATGATCCAAGTTTATATTATGCTCCTAATTACCCTGCTGAGGCTTACCAAACCATATCATACTCAACCACAACTTATAGTGATCCAAAATCAGTTATGTACGATCCAAATTATGGTATGACCCATCTTGTGATTTCTTACTCTAATGTGGAATTCAATGTGCCCGAATTTGAGGAGTATGACTCAACACCTTATGGTGGTGGGTATGACATTGATCAGACCTATGGTAAAGCTCTACCACCTTCAGATAAAATTTGCTATCCTCGTTCTGGCTCAAGTTCAATTAGTGATCCCATTCCCGTGGCCATAGTGCCATTGCCTACTATAAAAGAGGGAACTGATGAGAAAGCAGTTATACCACCCCAGAATGGAACTGCAGTCCAAATTGCTGAAGAAAAACCTCAGTCACAAGATAGTGGCAGAGACCAGCCAAGGAAAGTTGAAGACAGTGAGAGTGAGGGAAGTGACGATGAAGATGATTACGATGTTGAGTCCGGTGTTGGAAGTGGGTTTGGTGAAGGGCACGGTGGAGGACAGGGTTATGAGAATGAGAAGCAAGTGGGTCCTCAATATCCTAGTGGATATGGGTTGGAAGCTGTGGACATTTGTGAAAGCTTATTTGGGTATTGGCCTTGTTTGGAACGTATGAAGAAGAGAGAATGTTATGGCAATGAAGTTGCTTGCAGAGGTAACCACTGTCAGGAGAACATGTGGCAAGGTACTGCAGATTATCTATTTGGCAGTCCATATCCTTATGGCGGGAGTGCGGAAGATGGAAGTGGCTATGGAGGAGGAGAACCTGTGTATGCCTATCAAAGGTACTATCCAATGCAAGCACAGTACAAACAGATTGATCATAATGCCCAGTTTTGGTGACACACCAAAACAATTTATTCTGTGATGTAATATGAAAGTTGAAGGTGTAAAGCTTCTTTCTGTGGAAATAAATGTGAAATTTGGATGTGAAGATGTTCTGTGTGGGAGTGTGTTGTGATTATGGTTGAGATTCATGCCCCAGAACCTAAAAAAAATTCAATTATCTTTGCTTCCTGATCATATATTTTATAATGGAAACAACTAAAACTCACCATTTACAGATTAAACACGCTTTTCGTAATCTGATTTTGTTATTCATGATTCCTTGTACGCAAGACGATCTTGTTAAAACTCTTTCAATTGGTTAAAGGGTTACGCCATAAATGTTTAATAATCCTCTGCACTGATGAAATAATCGTAATGATCTTAAATTCGTGCCTATTTATACTTGAATATCAGGGAACCTGAAATTATATTCTCTTCATCAAGAATAAGTCAAACAGTTAAATTTTTTAATGGAAACAACGTACTCCTCCAAAGCTCTAAGCTTTTGTCGGAAAACTATTGCTGGACATAATCCTATCCCTTCAAAATTTTGGAAGCGAAACATCATTCAATAAGATGGAGAGTTGTGTAAAGGTTGTGTTATCAGGTGAAAAACATCAAACATTTGTTCTTCGAATCTCCTTTGTATTTTGAAAGTGTGATATGATTGTCCTAGGTGGTGGCAGGAACATTCTGTGTTGCACAATGAGGTCGAAGCTCACTTTACATATAGTTGCTAGTTACAAAATCAGTATGACTGTTTGAAACACCAGTAATGGTTGTATTTTTGTAATCTGAGGTTGTTTCAATGATCGGTTATGCAACACATTCTCAATTTTTCCAGTGATGGAAAGTTGATGTTGTTCTGTCAGATGGTTTGGGTCGTCCATCAAACAGCTGATGTGCATGTGTATTGGTAGGTTGTACATTAGATTATGGTGAGATCAAGGTTCAAGAAGGGGATTGGATCTTACTTAAGGTTAATCACAATTATGTCTCTATGTATGGCGTTTCCATGGCAAGCCTTCCCCAGCTTAATTTCTTTAATCTTTTTTCTTTATTCACATTATTATTATTATTAATATGGGCTGGGCCCATATACTTTTCTTATTACAAAATTTATTTTGGTTCTAACTTCTTACATTTCCCCTTTTCTTTGTCTTCCCTTACTTATTTATTACTGAATTACCTTTTCCGGTTATATTATGTATACTCGCAAAAGTCTGTTTTTATATGAATAAAGATGAAAGAAGAAAATACTGACAAGAGCAAGAAATTTCTTTAGTTTTTTCTTTCCTTTATTAGATTTTCTACTTCTAATTTTTTAAGCGAAAAAATAATTAAAATTCTTTTATTTAATATTTAATTTTTTAGTTCAATTACACTGTATTTTTATTATAAATGGTAAAAACCATATAATATATATATATATATATATATATATATATATATGTACGTATATATATGTATATATGTATGTATATATATATGTAACATATAAAGATTACAATTATATTTTTAACCTTTTTTAAAATTTTAAGATAATATTTTATTTTTCTAATTATACTCTTAATTTAAGTAGTATGGAGAGAAACAAATTAGTTATAATTAATTATACTCTTTTAGGTTATGGTTTAACAAATATTGATTTTGTGTGGATTTTGTTTTGGTTTGCAACTTTATGAAAGTCTGAGTGAGACTCAAGTATTCTGATGTACGGAGGTCCAGCAACTTGAATTTCACAAGACACTTCACGCTGCTTTTAAGCTAAAACTATAGTTTTTGAAAGCTTTTCTAAGCAAATTGGATGTTGGTGGGTCACAAAGCAAAATTAGTTGGAATAAGTAGAATTTAAAACCATACTTCCTTGTGACATATAATGATATACCCAAAGTCAATTTTGAGACCAAGTTTTCAAACATTATTTGTTTCAAAAACAACACTTCTAGTATTCATCATCTGAACAACCTAAGTTTCTCGCAATTAGAAAATTTGAAATATGGGAACAGCGATAGTGACGGATGAACTAACAACTGAGGAGAGCTCCTGTTTTCAAAAATGGAGAGAGGAATAAGAAAGAAATCGTATAAATTGTAAACTAGTTAACTAAACTAGAAACGAAGCTAAATTTTTGGTTGTAAAATCGTTTTAATAAATACGTGTGCGCGCATTCCCGCACGCATGTTTTATGTATCATTTATGTGTTTATAATGAATCCTGAGACATCCCCACCTGATAAAGTACTGTGAGCTAAACTAAACTAATAGAAGGAAGAAAAGAGGATGAAAATAATTGTTGTCTAAAGCATAGAACATGGCATGGGTTTATAGTAAAAAGAGGAAGAAGAAAACAGAAGAAAAATGAGTAAAAGAGTGGAAAAAAAGGCACTGATGGCCCCTCTTAACCGCAGATTAAGGCCAAAGCGCCAAACACTACATTCAAATCTCATCTTATTTTACCACTTACGTACAAACATGTCATTACCCAAATAAAGTATCACAAATCGTAAAGCCAAAGTTGTTTTCAACCAGAACAGAATCATTATTTATTCTTTATTATTATAAACCAGTAGTATTGACAGTGTAAATGTATTTTTATACTACTAATGATTTGGTTAAAATAATTGATTAAAATGGAACGTTATCTTTATTCCATTTGCTGGGTCCTAGATTGTAACGCAAGGGTAGTTTGTTCATTTTACAAAGATACAATCCATGTCATGTAATGCCAACCAAGAACATAGAAATTCTATCCGCTGTCCTGTCTGGCTCCCACTTCCAATCATAGTGTTCAGACACTATGTTTGTGTGGTGATGCCTTAAAAACCCTGTTAAAACCTCAAGCACCGAACTTCTCACTCAAAACCTTCCTCCTTCCCCACTCATTCTTCTCAACATGTCTCTGCCACACAGATCTTTAGAGGCCACCTTTCTTGCTTTTGTTCTTCTTTCTTTCTCACTGGCTGCTGCTGCTGCAGCAGCATATTCTTCTATTCATGAGCTTCTCCGAAGCCATGGCCTACCAGCCGGGCTCTTCCCAGAGAGTGTAAAGTCATACAATTTGGACCAAAGGGGTCGTTTGGAGGTGAACCTGGATGCTCCTTGCCTCGCCAAGTACGAAACCAGAGTGCTCTTTGAAACGGTGGTTCGAGCTAATCTTAGTTTTGGTCAGCTCAAGGGTTTGGAGGGTCTTTCTCAGGAAGAGCTTTTCCTATGGTTGCCTGTGAAGGATATCATCGTCAACGATCCATCTTCTGGTCTCATTCTCATTGATATTGGTCTTGCACATAAACAGCTCTCTCTTTCTCTCTTTGAAGATCCCCCAGTTTGTAGATCCCAAGGTACTGTTTTTCTCATTTTGAACAGCTGTTACCTATTAATCATGACCTGTCTTCAATTCCTTTCAACTCTGAACCTTTCAATTATGGGGTTTGAATAGGAATCATAGTGGAAAACCACATGCATGCCATTTTCTTCTCACTCATTATTACTTTCCAGCCTGTCAAATGATCATTGGGTGTATTTCAATCCTCATTATTTTCTTCTTCTAGATTTCCTCCCCTTTTGAACTCAAAAATTGAATGTTGGGTGCAGGTCTTTCACTAAATATTGGGGGAAGGAAGAGCATTGGATTTCAAGATCAGAGATGAAGGATTGCTTGTTTATCTGAAAAAAGATGGTTTCTTCTTTCCTCTTTACAATTTTGTTTTGTTTTTCCCTTCTTCTTTTTTTCCTTTACAAATAAATATATGGTGCAATGTGCATAGATCCTGAGAGTTGTGATTATTAAATTAGAAATCAGTCAAGGGAAAAAAGAGAAACTGATAGGCGGTGTTTATTGTAAAAAATCTTTATGCAATTTTGTTTGCCGCAATTTTTCTTCTAATGTGCAAGAAAAGTTTTTTGATATTGTCATACCATATCATTTCTTCCTTTCTTTTCCTTTTACTTTGCTGAAAGGGGTGTTATTCTTTCAAAGAAAAAGGCTTCCTGATCCTATGTTGAAGATATACACAGAATCTGCTAACATTGACTGTTGTTACTAAATTTGTCTCTCAAATTTGAGTAAAAATGACACCTTGGCATTTTAGAGACAAAATTGAAGGCTAAGGTGATGTTCACATTACCACTACATAAAGATCATAAATCAAACTGAGACAGAAAAGGAAGAAAATTGGGGTTTTAATCTGCTTAATTGGTTTGAAAATATAGTCAATAATGTTGGCCAACAGCGAATTTATTTAGTGTATCTTTCTTAATTGCTATAAAGCCTGAAAAATAATGAGAACTTGTTTGGCCAGATTTAGATATTCTATATAATGTTTCTCTCTCCTCATCAGCATTGGAAATCTATCTCCATTTTGATGTACAACAAAATATATGAGCAGAAAATGGACAATGGTAGTTCTATTTTGTAGCTGTCTTTTATTTTATGATTCAAGTAAACACAGCCTTTTGAGGTTTTTGTCTATGTATATATCCCTTCTTCCCAGCATCCCTTATGTAATAACAGTACACGGATTGTTCATAAGGAGAATATTCTTTTTCTTTGGTCATTTAGTCTTTGTAACATTTGCTTAATCTTCAAGTAGAACAAAGGTAAACTAAAAACATAAAAGAACATGTAAAAAGAAGTTATAGGAGGAAGATTAATTTCACTCAAAAAATAGGAGCTGACACTATATGCCCATTCAAATTTACTGATTTTATTTGATTGTAACAGTTTTTTAGAAAAAAAAAAACACTACATATAATGGGAGAGGTGGAATGGATGTGCATTATTCATTCATATAACAAAAAGAAATATATATCTTATTTCCAGTAATAGTGTAATCATTATATAGAAAAATAAAAAGTCCTTTTCAGATTCTTTCTATGCAATTGATAAAAGTCCATTGCAACTTCTCTACATGTCATTGATAATATCTTGCAACAAATCCTTGATTTGATTAATTTCAAGTCTTTCTCCATTTTTTCCCTGAACAATCATCAAAGTGAATATTATATTATCATATTGTCAAGTTTGTGAAGTAAGCATGAACAACTACATATTCATAATAGTGAAAAGATAAATCACATTTCATCTTAAGTCTCTTATGAATTTGATAAATAACTGTAGTAAAAAAGTCTTATTATCATTCTCAGAATCACCTGTATGCAGCTTGTAATCAGAAATGCTCCTTTTGTGGTAGTCAGGTTAGTGTCCATGAGCTCAATGCCGAAGTAATTGAGTGTCTCCATCAGCTTGCTGAAGCTTCCTCTCTTTTTCTCAATGATGATCTTGACCCAGAACTTATTCTCATCTATTTGTGCCACAGTGACCTCTTCCTGCAGAAAATAAGAGTGCTAACATTGGTAGTTAAGCTATTCATTCTTCTAAGGAACTATCTTAGTTATAACTGACCTGTATTCCCCAATTCTTCATATCTTCCACAGCTTCAATTTCATCTATTTTTGTCTCAGTTGTTTCCTCTGAAGTTGCTTCCATTTGGTGAAGTTGTTGGCTGAGACTCTGAACTTCATCTTGAAGCTTCTCAATGTAGGTGATAGCATCTACAATAATTGTTCCTCTATTCATCTAAAATAAAATTTAGAGTCTATAATGAGCCTATATTCTAATAAATTGGAAATCAAACAATGAAATTGAGTATTGAATGAACTGTTAGACAAAGAAGCAAGAAGTAAGGAAATGAGGGCTTAGATAGTTGCATTTGTAATGATAGGGTTTATAGACCGCAGCATCAAAAGCCTCCTACTGAGCTTCTCCCTCCTCCTTCTTTCAACCTCAAGGTTTTTTGATTTGAACTCTTTTGTGTTATCATCGTAGTTCCTCTTCCTACTCATCCTTTGTCTGCTACAATCATTCTCTTCCATAGTATAACACAACCAATCTTCATCTTCATGCTCCATTTTTTGAGAAAACAGGTCTTAAGGAATGAAGCAGAGACAGGTATAAAAGAGATTTGTTCCAAAGGTTTTGTAGATTAATATTTTGTTTGTGACTATATAAGTGTTTCTCACAGAGGCATCATGCCAGATAGAGAAAGCACATTAATGCTTGTTTTGAGGGTCTTTTCTGTGGTCCCTACTTAATTCATGTATGTTTCTTATGACAAGAGAGAAATATATGTGTTTTGCTGGTTAAATGTGTTTTCTGCTTGTTGGAATCTTCTTAACAGAATGAGACTATGAACTTTGGATATTTTATTGTAATATATGCAGTTAGAAATCACATTGAAGTTCTATCTAACTTCTTTCTTTGATTTATATTTTGATAAAAAGCTCTCAAAAATAAATCTTCAGTCATTTCTTCAAAATTTCCTCCCACAACATTTACATTTTTTAATAGGGTTTCATTTATGCATTTTTAATAAATTAATTTTTTTAAAAAATTTAAGATAAATTTAATTAATTTTTTATTGATATCCTTATTTCCTACTTACTATTATTTCATTTATACATATCAATCATATATGCAAAGATAGTACTATAAAAAATAAGTATTTATGGTTAACAGCTTAAATGTGAATGTTATGGAGAAACAAATGCATATAAGATAAGAGAAATTAAATGTATTAAAAAAAAAAACTCACACAACCATGTCATCTAAATTTTTGAGTGACTACCTATTTGTACTATGGAGCATTGGTGGACACAGAACATAGTAAAAAGAAGAAAAAAAAAACTTTCATGTTACACTCCTCAAATAAACTTTCCATATCCCAGTGTTTTTTAAGTCCTTTGGTAGGTGACCTTGTTGTCTGACTGAGAGTGCCACAGCACAGTTAAGTTTGCTGGTTTCTTTAGAGCAAAACGTCTTGTTTAATATATGACATATTAACTCATACGAAACTGTAGTTGTTTTTGTTTCAATTGAAATATATTTAGTCTCTTGAAATATAATGATTTTATATATTAATTTTTATTTGAATTTTATTTATTTTAATCCTTAAAACTTTGAAAAACTTGTGTACATTTAAGACAATACTATATAACACATTCATTCGGATAGTGTCATTTAGTTTTGACAAAAAATATGGCTGGCTATACACTTTTACTAATAATGCAATCATGGATAGAATGGATTTTAATATAATAAAGGGAAAAAAATATGTAGAGATTTTCATTGCTGAGAGTGATTGTAGAGATATCATTAATGAATAAAAAAAACTAAATTGTTATTATATACTAACACATGCTGTGATCAATTTTTATTTTCTGCTGTAAAAATATTATTCATTTAGTTAGTTTTTAATGGTTAAAATGAGTTTTTTTCTTCAAATTGATATTATAAATAAGAAAGTAGGAGATCAACAAGAAATTTTATAATCTATATTGAATGTTTTATGTTGCTTAATACAGATGTAAGTGATCATTGAACAGTTCCAACCAATAAATTAAACTAGCCCTATATGCCATTGATAATGTCTTGCAACAAATCCTTGGTTTGTTGAATTTCAAGTTTTTCACCATCTCTGTCCTGAACAATATGGAAATAACAGTTAAATAATTGAAGTGAATATTATATCATGGTTAAGATTTGGAAGGTACATGTGGAATATTTACAGATGAACCCAAGTTCATCCTCGTATGCTGAAATCATATTCATTGAAAATAAAAATAAGCAAGTTTGCGTCTTATCTTATCACCTGTATACAGCTTGAAATAAGAAATGCTCCTTTTGTGGTTGTGAGATTGGTGTCTATGAGTTCAATGCTGAAATTATTGAGAGCTTCCATCAATTTTCTGAATCTTCCTTTTCTCTTCTGAATGATGATCTTAACCCAGAGTTTATTTCCGTCTATTTGTGCCACCCTAACTTCTTCCTGCAGAGAAACCAGCACAACAACATTAACAATTAATAGTTGCATAGATTATTCATTTTTTTTCAACCAACTAGTGTATGACCTGTATTCCCAAATCCTTCATATCTTGTGCAGCATCAATTTCATCTGTTGTGTTTCCTGTTTCCTCTGAAGTTGTTTCCATTTGGTGAAGCTCTTGACTGAGACTCTGGACTTTGTCTTGAAGCTTCTCAATGTAGGTGATAGCATCTTCAATAATTGTGGCTTTGTTCATCTAAAACCAAAATTAGAGTTTATAATCATATTACATTGCATCCCTAGAATTGAACGAAGAATCAGATAAAGAAGAAGAATCATATAAGAAAGTGAAGAGTGTAGATAATTGCATTTGTGATGATAGGCACTATAGCACGAAGCATCAAGAGTCTGCTACTGAGCTTCTCCCTCCTCCTTCTTTCCGTTTCTAGGTTCTTTGATTTGAACTCTCTGGTGCCATCATCATAGTTTCTCTTCCGACCTATCCCTTGCTTGCTAGAACCATTTTCAGTAGCAAGAGAAAACTCTTCCATAGTTACACATAACCAATCTTCATCTTCATACTCCATTTGTGAGGGTGCAGGATGGGTTTTGGGGAAAGGGATGTGTAAACTGAGCATGGTTGGTGGCTATATAAGTGGTTTTCATAGAGGCATCATGTCAGAGAAACAACAGAAGAGATAGAAAGTACATTGATGCATGTTTTGAGGGTCTTCTTTCTGTGTGGTCCCAAGTTAGTTCTGGTATGTTTCTTATGACACATATGTTTGTGATAGGCTGTTCAAATGTGTTTTCTGCTTGTTAGAATCTTTCTAACTGATTTTTTTTTTCTACAATCTTTCTAACAGCGTGAAAATGCCACTACAAATCACATTGAAGGTGTTCGTAATGTTTTTTCATTGATTATAGTCTGATAAAGGTCTCAAAAGAAAAACATATTATCTAATGAGATTGGTAAATTTACCTCAGAGACATTTTCTCCTTATTTGTACTCCGGTTGAATCCAAATGCTGCAATTGGGTTTAAAATAAATAATTTTTATGTTCTACCAAAGAGAAAATAAATCTGGGTATGTTTTTTAGGTGTGATTTGTAAGGCCCTTTGAAATTGGGCTTGCTGAATGAAAATGAAATAGCACAGTTGAGTATAAACCCAAAGCAAAGTAGAATTTGATGTTTTGAAGATTAGTACTTTATTGATTCTAACTTTTGTATTTATTGCTATCCTCATTCCATATATATTGATGGTATTGGGCTGCATTTCTACCTTAGAAAAATAACAAACCCTTATAAAAAAATGTTTTTGAGAAAATTATATTGGATATATATATATATATATATATATATATATATATATATATATATATATATATATATATATATATATATATATATATATATTGTTAATTTAACCTCTCTAAATAACGAACTATACTCCACACTTTAATTCCTCACCATATGATGAAACGATCTAAAGAGTATAATATACACATGTGGGGTACTAGTAGGTTTTAATAAAATTTATTATTTATCTATAAATAAATGTCTACACCTTTATTTAACACAACAATTCTGTTCCAAAAATTTGCACGCATTAAAGATTCATATTTTTCAAGGGTTTTCAAAAAGTAGTTTAAAATCTACCTCAACAGTTATGTCTCGTTCTTCTATTAATTGAACCGATAGTTAATGGCTAAAGTAAATTATGTCCATTTAATAAGAATTACTTATAAAGAAATAAAAAAATGATGTAAAAAAATTCTTTGAAACAAAAATACTGTAAAAACAAATCACAAATTACAAGTTTAGATACACAAAAATAATTTTTTTTTTGGAGAATTATTTTTTCTTACTAATTATTCCGAATAAGCAGTTTATTTCTTATAATGATGTTTTATTTTCTAGTAACATTGTGAAGAGTGTGTAAAAACACGATCTTGTTCAGGTGTGGACACGATAGAATAGTTAATGTAGATGTGTAGGGTATTAAAATCAATTATTGGAGGGAAGAATGAAAAACATAAGGTAAAAAGGCTCACATATTAATTATTTTAACAATTAAATCAAATCCTTTATACTATGGATGAATTGATAAAGTTGGAATTAACACTAATAAGATATACCAGCAACGAGGAACAAAATATAACTAACTTTTCCAATAGCAATACATTTGACAAACTTGTCTAGTTAAGATTATCAAATGGTAGGTGTAAAGATTTTTTTTTCCCTTTATTGAAGCAAAGCATGACCGTAGAATCTACTTATGGCCAGAATTCCATTAGATGACTGCTGTAATGAGAGTGTGAAAAAGCCAGCACCAAGAATTTGACCTAAATGCTTGATAATAATACTTTTGATAATATTTTTTTTACAACATTTTAATACTATTTACGTGTCATTCTGTGTTTGGTCTATGTTGATGTTTATGATTATTATTATTATTGATTGTAGAGTAATTTTGGATCAATTACAGAATGACATGTAAATAGTGTTAAAATATTGTAAAAAAATATTATCAATATCATTGTCGATTTTTTAAATTCGAACTTAGCCTCACTCACGTCACATCCTCTTAATTGTGCATGCAATAATGGATGTATTTAGGCATGCCAAGTTTTTCATATCTTCCACAGAAAAAAAAAGTCATTATATAATATGATTTTATATTTATTAGATCTATTATTTTAGGTGTGATTAAATCATTGTCAAATAATTTATCAATGTCTAATTCTAATTAATATATATAATTTCAGATAAGAAATTCCCTGCATTCCTAGAATCCGCGTTAACGAGTCTGTGTCATTGCAAACCTACATTGTTGGTGGGTGAAGCTGCATTCATCCCTAGAGCTTATAATAATAATCGTTAGCTATATATATCTTTATTTTATTTTTTAAATTAGTTATATATAAAATTAAATTAGATTTAAAGTTTATCTTTAATAATAATTGAGGTTTATTTAAAGTTTATTTTTAAGATTGAAATAAAAGTATTTTTTTCATTATTGTTTATACATTGATTATTAGGAAAAATAAATTAACAATTTTTAATCATTTATAATTATTATATATAAATTAAATTAGAATGCATTGAAAAAATCACTATTATAAATATATGGTCCTTTTACATCACGTAAACAGTATTAGTTCTCCAATAACATAAGTCAAAAGAAATCAGGGATTAAACAACAATCCTCTTTTTGTTGCTTTATGAAGATAGTCAGATTTCCAGATCTAATAGAAATTCCAACATATATTTTGAACCACAAATGTTTTACCATACAACAATGGAATATCTTATGTTCTTTTATCGACAACTAAAACTAAAGGTAGTAGTCATACACAAAACTGTGATCAAAACCCAATTATTGACGAAAAGAATCTATGGACACATCTACTAAACAATGGTCATAAAAAAGGAAAAAAAAAAAGTAGCCAATATCAAAACATGAGAGTGATAATTTTGGTGTTTACTTAAATTTTTAAGTGTTGTTATATTTTGAGCCATAATTATCTAGTAAATATACATGCTATAGTAATAGACAAAATTTATTTACAAAATTTATTTAAATTAAGTTTAGTGTTATTAAAACTAATAAATGAGTTATTTTTACTCATATAAATCTTATATATTTATAAAATAGACAATTTATTTAAAATAAATTTAGTGTTATTAAAACTAATAAATTAGTTATTTTTACTCATATAAATCTGATATATCTATAAAATCTCTAATCATAAAGTAAGAATACTATAACTTATTTATGTGTAAGTGATTTGAGTCTTATTTTTTTTCGATTTTTTTAAAATCACATTTCTTTTCAAGGATTTTGTCATAGAATTTATTAGATTCTCACTTTACATCATCAATTAAAATTGTTTTATTTTTTAGTAGTTACTTTACTAAATTATGTCTTAATTGTATATATTTACTATTTTCATTGTAATTCCTATTTTTATTATAATTATTGTTGATTGGTAATCATAATGTATTGATATACATGAAGTTGATTTTATTCCTAGTAAAATATTTGCTAAAATGTTTTTCAATTTCAGCTTCATAACCAATAATTTTGTGAGCAATAAACTCAAATTTTATTATTGATCTTGCAATAATTATTTTTTTTTGTCTCATCTAAGTTAACTTACAGATTCAATTAGCATCATTATGCCTCTCTCGTGTAGTAGAAAATCTACTATATTCAATAACAATGCATTAAACCTCTTTAAGTATTTCGTAAGTCTTGTAAGTGCATCTCAATATTCCTAAGACACTAAATGTATCTACTTAGTTTACATATTGCATAAGCATTGTCTAGTTTAAGAAGTTCATTACATGCAGTAAGTTTCCAATTATCTTGACACACTGAGGTTGAAAAATACATTCTTTAATATTTTTCATTACTTTAAAGTAAACATTATAAGTGATACTCACTAATTTGAAATCATAATATCCAAACCTTTTAAGAAGTTTCTAATGTATAGTTTTTGAGATAGTAAAAAACTATCTTCATTTCTTATTATTCTAACTCCTAAAATCACGTTGATTTTACTCATATTTTTCATTTCAAAATTAGATCCTAAAAACAACTTAGTTCACAACACAATATCAATGCATATATAAAAGATTAACATGTCATTTACGTATAAACATACCATGACACACTTATCATTTCTCTTCATGTATGCAGGGATGTCAAACCCATCATCTCCCCTTTTTCTACTCATGTAAATATCTGACATTCATTTTTTTTCCTCAATGAACAATAAATAGCCCCAAATAAATAGAGGTTAAAAAATGATGTATTATAAATTAAAAATATTGTAAAAAATTGAAAAATATAAGTTTTGATACACAAAAATGATTTATTTTTGGGAATTTCTTTTTTTACTTTGTTATTATTCCAAACAAACCGTTTATTTATTATAATGATGTTATATATTTCTTTTTTCTAGTAATGTTGTGAAGGGTGTACAAAAACACATTCTTGTTCAGATTGCAAGCATGTTGACGTAATGGAATAATTAATATAGATGTATAGTGTCTTAAAATCAATTCCTTCAGTTACTGGAGGGAAGAAAGAAAGTAAAAAATAATGTAAGAATGTCGATTGGGATGGATCACACAGTAGACAGTCTATTATTTTAACAATTAAATCAAATACTATATAAGATAGAAGAATTGATAAAGTTGGAATTGACATGACCTAAGAAATATTACCTAGCGAAACAAAATGATAATGAAACTTTTCTAACAATACATTTAAAAAACTTGGGTAATTTCTTCCGAACCAACCACAAACAAGAGATATGACATCTCTGATTATTGGTGAAGCAAAGCATGACCATATAGAAACTACGTATGGTCAGAATCCACATTAACCATCATTTTTATTTGTTCCCTCAGGATGAAAAGACATGGATTATTGGTGGTGTAATGATACATCAAAGGTACCATTCTAGCAGCATTCAAGCAGAAATTGGAAAACGATGTTGGCAATTGATTTTGGATCAGAATTTGTCCATTGAGACGTTTCCATTCAGATGAAATCAATTGGCAAACATGGTTTTGGACATCTTCAGCTGAAATGTGCTTGTGCTCATTCATGTAGCAATCAAGGTATGACCCATCAACACCCTTCTCATCTTCCTTCTGCAGTTTTTTCAAACCTTTAAGTTAGGACATCACATGTTTAGAATATAACATAAATACAAACACTTTCGTCTGTCTTTTTACCTTGAATCCTTCCAAATCATCAGATAGACGAAGAATTTTTGCCACCGAGTGAACAATTTGGGGAAAGTTATCCATGACAGCAACAGTTTCCATATTTATAGACTGATCGAAGAGGAAGAATGCATGAAGAAGCACCACATGCACTCCTGTGCTCACAATTCCAACATTCAAGTACTCCTCTGACCTTGGCAAATCACCACTCCTCAACCAATGTGCCTCTTCCATGAAAGCATTCAACAATCGTACCCACTGTTTCATATATATAAATACTTCATTTTTACATTTACTTCTACTTTCCATAATTTTCGACAACTTTTTCAAGTAAATTTTAAATAGAATAAATTGACTATTACCGATCTTTTTAGTGTATCTATTGGGTTTAATCCATGTCTTTTATAGACCTTTTCGGCGAAATCATTGGTCATGTCGAAAAGAACATTTAGACACATTTTCATGAAGTCTGGAAGCTGCTCTGTATCCACCAATTCCCATCTGAAATTAGACATACTAATTATATGCAAGCATAAGAATGGAATATCCAAAGAAATGGTACATGCTAAAATCTAGCAGCTCGTCCACTTAAACCTTTTCGTTGTAATTCTCGACAAATTTCTCCATAAAATTATTAGTATAATAGAAGAAAGTAATGAGATAAAACAGAATATTTTTTTATTACAAAGTTAAAATAAATGAGGTTCATAAATTGATCTTGAATTATTAAAAACATTCTGATTATTTTTTTACTAATATTGTGTACACCTAAGTCGTATCATTAAACCAGAACAAAAAAGAAACTAAAAGAAGAATAGGAAAGTTAATATACATTAAAAAAATATAAGACGATTCGAAAAAAAACATGAGTTAGGTATATAGTGTGTGAAATATACTTTTAGAAAATATTAAAAATATCTTACTAATATATATATATATATATATATATATATATATATATATATATATATATGACCGTCAATAATTCCGTGTATTTTTTCGTCAACTATGGTCAAAGTTGTGTCTACTCATTTGTCACATAAAAGTATATTCATTCTCTCTCTAGGTTGTTGAATTGCTGATTTTATTGTGCAGGAACCTCACTAGTTATAGACTTATAGTTTATGCGAGCGGAGAAATCATTGCAAAAATAATTAAATTTGATCAATTTTTTAAAATTTAATTAACATATAAAATTATAAGAGAGATACGCATTACTGATTCAAAATAAATAATAATAAAAGTAGTTAAGAATGATGGGGACAAGATTAAATTTAAAAAGAAAAAACTGTTGTAGATTAAGATTTGAAATAAAAATATGAAATAACCTAAAAATTAGCGCGGTTAAAGTTATAATTTAAGATGAAAAATCTTAATAATATACAAAATGAATTTTTAGAAAAATTTATTGATTTGATATTTTAAAAATATAAATAAAAAAAAGTAATTTAAAGAAACTCATCATGATTTTGTTTGTAAAAGAGGTTTTGATGAATACCTATTGACAGCATCTCTAAATAAAGTAAGTTGGTCTAATGTCCCATGAACGTCGAAGATATCATCGATAATGTAGATCAGAGAGATGGATTTGGTGAGTTCAATTCTTTGGTCTAAAAAGCTTGGATCTGTGAAGCATGCCATGGGCCAAATGTACCATTTCAGAGGTTTATACTTGGCAAACTTCTCCTCTTTCACCATTCCAAGATCTTTCCACCATCTGTTAATGTAAAATTCTGATTACTGTTGCCAAAATGAACATTCAAAGTGGGAGTATAATATAAAACTCACTTGTAAACTTGAACGATTTCATTCTGGTTCATCATTCTAACTATGCAGGAGTTTATCTCAGCAAGTTCCTCTAAGCATGTCCATTCTTTCTTGGTCTTGTAATAATCACTTAGAACTACACCTGTGTCCCTGAATCTTGATAAGCCATAGTGAAGTGGATCCTCAAGAGTGCTAGCAACATATATAGCTTCATGATGTCCTCTATGTCTTTTCAACCATGCATGAAGAAGTTGACGGCTCAGATAACCTGCATCATCAAGACTATCTTCTCCTTCGATACTCAGCTGGGTTGCCTCATGCAGGGCAATCAGACTCTTCACATCTTCACCATATTTAGCTCTGAACTCTCTTTTATTACTCTTCAAGCTATCAAACACATCTACACACGCATTATAGTTGGTAGCTTTAGTTAGCATTTAGTAACAAATTCCTTCAACATGAATACAGAATGTGAGTTAAATATTGCAGGTCCATATGTTTGGTCAACAGTTTATATGTACAGAATGAAGAGAATTTCAACCTGCGGCAACGTGATGACCTCTTTGTCTAAGTAAACGGAATTGAAGTGCAAGTTCATAAAGTTTATCGCCATTGGCAAAATCATTGAGATGACTGCTAAATACGGAGTGTTGCTTCCGAAGAACGGCTTCAATTTCCTCTTCAAAATGGTGTTCGATGCCGAGCCTCTGGATAATGTCAATGACATGAAAACTCTCCATGGAATCCTCACTGACAAGTTTCTGGAATGCATGCTTAACTTCCTTCAACACCAGAGCTTGTTTGATATAAATATCATCCTGAAAATGTGAATAAAAGTGTCAAATTCAGAAAACCTTGGTGGGATGAGAAGATGATTAACAGAATTAGAATTTTAGTTGTGTACGCACAGAGAAATCCATTGTTAAAACGGATGTAGTGTTTGCGTAACAGTGGTGGTTTGGCTTACTATAAACGTGAAGAGAGGAATAAACAAGAGTCTATTTATACCCCCACAGCAAGAGTCTTGTTTTGGTTTTGTAGTCTAAAATGGGTTAGACAAGTCAAAGATAGTAGGTGATAAGTTAATTAGTTTGATGACGTTGTGTTTCACGATTTTTTCATTATAATTATTTTAAGAACAAAAGTATATGAAAGTTAATACTGACAGTATACGCAATAATTTATCCTGCTACCATAAGACTGAAATCTCCAGAACACGAGAAAGTAGAGATTCCACGTCATGTTGTTTTCCACTTGGCTTACCGTCTACCACCCCCAAGTAATTTTAAATATTTCTACATCACAACTATAAAAAACCCTATAATGATAATGGAAGTAATGACAAATGAAAATAAAAAGAAAAGAAGAAAAAAAAAATATATATAAATAAATATAAAAATAAAAACAGGTATAAATTTCATTTTTTATAAATTAATTTTATAAAAAGTGAAATAAAGTATTTTTTTCATTATTTTTCATAAGTAGATTATACAAAAATAAATTAACAATTTTTAATCATCTATAATTTTTCTAAATAAATTAAATTAGAATGCATTGAAAAAATCAGTATTTTATGGTCCTTTTACATTGAATAAACAATATTGGTTTTCCAAGAACGTATGTCAAAAAGAGAGGCGTGAATAAGGGATTACATAGGCAACAACCCTACTTTTGTTGGTTTATATTTATGGGAATATATAGCTGAAATTATTTCTTCATCTATATATACAAATCCCACTTTCACTCTAGTAAGTCAAAATTTTCCAAGAGAAATTTAAACATATATTTTGAACCACAAATATGTTATCATGCAACAATGGAATATCTTATGCTTTATTCTCAACTAAAACTAAAGGCAGTTGTCGTACATAAAACTGTGACAAAAAAGCAATTATTGATTAAAAGAATATAGTGACACAACTACCTAACAATTGTTATAAAGAGAGAGAGAGAGGTGCCAATATCAAAGCATGAGATTGATAATTTTTGTGTCTAGTTAATTTTGAAGAGTTAATATATTTTTAGCCATAAATATTTCAGTTTGTTGACGAATATAGTAGTTTGTTATATATTTTTAGCCATAAATGTTTTTTTTTATCTTTTTTTAGTTTAGGGGAGAGACATTACAGAAATGTCGCATTACTTGAAGTCGTACTATCGAATCACGTTTTTGTTTTACTTTTCTATTATTATTTTTTTCATTATAACATGTTTTTGTTTTCTTTTTCAATTTTTTTTTGTTGAAATCGTTATCTAGCACTTTTTTTCTCTTTTTAAATTATTTTTATTTCTTTTGGTGACATTTCTATAAATTTAGACAATTTAATAAATATTTATTTATTCGTTAGTTGAATAATTTCAAATACTAATATATAAAATATATTTAATTGAATTTGTTTAAAAAATAGTTAAATATATAAAATATATTTAAGAACAACATATTCTTAAGAAAAAAGAATTTATTTTTTTTAAATCCAAATTAATTGCACTCCTCAAATGGTTTCACAGCAAGTCCAAAGAAAATATCAACAACAGGGATATTATTGGCTTAAATGTTTCAGAATGTACGGAGCAATTATATCATAGGAAGAGCCCCAACCTTCTCTGGTTCGCAAAATTAACTGCAGGTATTTTAAAACTATTTGGGCATCATCTTCAATTTGAGTTTTTTTTTTTAAATATATATGATGATTTTGATTGTTAACATATACATGTGAACTGGTGCCATGAATAGAGACATATCAAGAATTGTGTCGTTTTTAATTGACTAGGTTAGTCACATACGATTATGGCCACAGAAAATGGAATATCTCTACTATGAGATGAAAAAAAAACATTATCCACCAATATTATTAATCTATATTTAGATTTATATATTTTTTTTAATATATATTGTTTTAAAACTTATACTTTACAATACAACTTATTTAAATTTATTTTTAGAAAGATGAAATTCATTTACACTACTATTTTATCATAAAATTTTATTTAAATTATACTTTAAAATTATTTTTACTCAAAAATAAAAAAGAAAATGATAATAAGTATTACAAATATCTATGATATATCAATTATAAATCTCAGAAAAAGAATTTATTGATATTCACAAGTAACATATTCTTGCACATGAAAAGAATAATGAGACAGGTGAAGATTTTTTTAGACAGATTAGATGTTACTTATGGAAGCTTCTCATCCTTAAGATTTTGTTCAAAAGTCCTTCTTACTTACTATTAATTTTCTCTAAAGAAATGCAACATTTCAAAATATTTGAATAAACTAATAGTATAATATTTTTTAAATAAGGAAATTAATGTTTTTAAATTCAAATATATAGTGTAAGAAAACAATAATATTATATCTTATATTCTTTTGTTTTTTATATTTATTTATAATCTGATGTCTATATAATATGTAGGAATAGCGTAAACTCATGTTTAGGATTTTGTCCGACATATCCAATGTAAGTTTATGTAAGATCTTATAACACGGAGCAAATTTTTCATATTTTAAAAAAATAAATAAATGGTTTTGGCATAAAAGTTGAATGGAAAAAAAAATAACAACTGTAATGGCTTTGTTCTACGTACATTAAACACAAATGAAAATAATAAATAAAAAATAGTCATAATCAAAGCAACAACCACAGAACACTGACAACCATCATGAAAAAGCACATTAGCAATAAAGGGAGAGGTTAGATAACTAACCTTGATGCAAAATGCAAATACAATCAAACATAACCATTTTTCCAAAAAAAAAATCAGACATAAAAGATGAAGAAACGAAACCTCCACCATACTCATGGTTGTCATTGGAAACAAAAAAAGTGACACAACTAAGTTCTTAGGAAGAAAAGAGAAACGTAAATTTATATCGGATTTCTTTGATCAAAATGGAAAAGAAACTTTTACATCCTACTTATAATCAAGATGTAAAAAAATTTATTCTTATTTACATCTAACTTTTTGGGTCAATCGTAAAATTTTATATATAATTCATATATTACGGAGCAATATTTTATTTTTGTCATAAGATATTTAATTTTTAATAAAAAACTATTTCACTAATATTTTTATTATGTCCTTAATTCTAAATTTGCTAAGTGTTAAAGATTGTTCTTGTTGAGATAGTGAGACGGAGATTCTGAGAATTTCATTAAAACGGTATTTTGTAAAAATGTACAAAATATTGAGTTATATTTTTTCAAAATGTTAAACCACATAAACAATTAGTATCTCATATATTTTAAGGGATTAAAGATGTTTAATAATCCTTACAAAGTATCTCTTAAAACTTATATAAATAACAAGATATATTAAAACAATAATGCTTCACAAACTAAAATAAACAACTAATTCTTAACAATTCTAAACATAACTTCTTTATCAAATCTTTTACAACTCATATTCTTTCATAACCACATATCAAGTTATTTGAGACTCATACAAACACGTAAAGTCATTTTATCCATACGTAGGAATAACAAATATGTACTGAGTTGTTTCATTAATATTATTTTTCTCACTGTAATCTTTTACTAATTACTTACTATTTTTTATCAATTAGTTTTTTATATTATTAGACTAATTACTTCTGCTGTAAACTAAAATATGTCATCTTTGAGTATGTATTATGCTGAAATAGTATATAATTTTAGTTACATATATACATAAATAATTTGAAAATAAAAATAAACTGGAATATATCATCCTGTCTCATCACAAGCATTACGAAGCAGTGTCTTGGCCTGTTCCTGCATTATGGAGAGGCATGCATTATTATTGGTGGTGTAATGATACATCAAAGGTACCATTCTAGCTGCATTCAGGCAGAAAATGGTAAATGATGATGGCAGTTCATTTTGGGTCAGAAGCTGTCGGTTGAGACATTTCCATTCAGATGAAATCAAATGGCAAACATGGCTTTGGGCCTCTTCAGCCGAAACGTGCTGCTGTTCATTCATCTAGCAAACAAGATATGACCCATCAACTCCCTTCTCTTCTTTTTTCTGAATTTTTTTCAATCTTTAGTTAGGACATCACATTCATGTTTAGAATCTAACATAGATACAAACACTTCCTTGCGTCTGTACCTTGGCTCCTTCCAAATCATCAGATAAACGAAGGATTTTTGCCAACTTGGGAAAGTTTTCCATAACAGCAACAGTCTCCGTATATTTATAGACTCATCGAAGAGGAAGATTGCATGGAGAAGCTGTTGAAACAATTTTCCAATAACTTAGGGAAATAAGATGAATAACAATGTAGACTTGATATAATTTTTTAAGCGTGAATACAAACTTTCCTAAAAGCAATATTTCGTCCCTTGTAAGAGTGAAGGAGACCACGAAATCCGCTTTTGAGATACGAAGAAGAAATACATCGATGATACTCACTCTTTGTATTAACGTTAAACAAGAATATGATACTCACTCTTAGTATTAACGTTAAACAAGAATATGATACTCAGATATTGATTTGTGTGTTAAGAGAATGAGCGAATTAAATTTCAGTAGAGCATAAGATCCCTTTATATAGATGTTGATCAGGCATCTTTCAAATCTAAGAGATACCAGATTCTGATTAGTTACATTTCTTGATTGTAACTTTTCATGAATGGTTGTAACTCTTCATGAATAACAACTTTTCTGACTAGTTACATTTCTTGATTGTAACTTTTCATGAATGGTTATAACTCTTCATGAATATTGTAACTTTTCATGAATCTGAAAACTGTCTCTAATACTCTTAAATTTCAAAAATTGTTCCAACAGAAGCACCACATGCATTCCTGTGCTCACGATTCCATTCTTCAAGTATTCCTCTGACCTTGGCAAATCACCACTCCTCAACCAATGTGCCTCTTCCATGAAAGCTTTCAACAATTGCACCCACTGTTTCAAACATATAAATACATCACTTTTACTTCTGCTGCTACTTTACAAAACTTTCTGCGCAAAAAAAATTGAATGTGACATA